AGTCTTTACTGCTTCACTTTGACTGAATTGTAGCTAATGGGGGAGAAAATAAACTCACAACACTGTCGTGTTCCCATCTTCTTACCTAATAATCACAGAGACAGTTTTGCCAATTTTTATACATGCTCTGAGTCCCACCAGTTTGTGCTGCTATAGAGGCACCCATACAAAACCCAAGTAATCTACTGCGCTACTGGCTGCAAACCATGAGAAATGACTGTGCTACAGGCTAAAATGAATTCAATTTTATAAATGAGCTCAGAAAGCTGTGTGAATTAATAGGAATACTCTAGGGCTTCCACTGTAAATGACACTAATGAAGCCTTATTTCCCATGGATGTTTTCCTTAGACTTGGAGCCACTTAATTTTCGTTYTGGATGGGAATGTTTAATAGGTACAGCAAACCTGCAGTGCATGGCCATCCGCCTTGCATACACTTGTTAGARGTTGAGTAGAAACTCCAAGTCCATGTGCTAGAAGCCGGCCCCTTTGGTTCCTGTGCTGTGGACATCCCAGCCCTAATTCTCTGCCTAGCAAAAATAATTCCAGCAACAGCACTTTGAGTAGGACATGGGCTGCTTTGGGAGCAGCCTGTCCAGCCCCGAGGGAGCAGGTGAGCACCTGGAGAAGGAAGAGACAGTCAAGTTTTCCTTTTCCTTTCCAAGTAGGACCCCAAACGGGCAGGATAGGCACACACACCACCAGAAGCGAGATTTCCAGACAAGAATCTGATATGAAAGGTGACTTCTTAACTGGACCCAATTACATTTGCTTTTTTTTTTGTGTTTTCTTTTAATGTTGTAAATCACATATTTAAACAATGGCGCACGCGAGCAAGCGAGTCCCCCTACCAAACCCAGATGTTCATTAGAAACATGAATCCTTCTTCCTTACAGCTACCATGAAAAGAAAACCATCCCTCCTTCCCCCATGCAAAAAAAGAAAGCCAGCCCTGTTGAAGGGCATAAAGGAGTGAGTTAAGTCTACAAAATCCAGGAAATTTACTGTTAAGAATAAAAATCTGGAGGTACTGGTGTAGGGTTTTAATTTGGACCCAAGATATAAATTAAAGCCAGAGCATCAGGTCAGGTGCTCAAGTTCGCAGCCCTTAACTGTGGAATTTCCAGGTTAAGTTACTTACATTTTCCTGTTGCTGAATAAGGCTAAAATCCTGAGTGCCATATATTTGCTCATCATAAAATGTTCTCTTTCAGCCAGCAACAGCTTCTTTGTTGGCGAGGCCTCTCTGGTTTATGAGCGTCCCAGCCTTTGTACCGTGTGCTGGGAGTTAAGAGCTTCCACATGGCTCCCGCTCCRAGGCTTTTGTGAATAAGCAAAGCAAAGCGCTTGCTCCATGCCCAACAAACGCATCAAATATGGCTTGAATTCACCGTTTTTAAATGCAAAGGATAATATTGATTTTGTTAAGGTAAATGTCTTTAATTGTATCCTATATAAACTCAAGTCGTATTGAGATATAATGGGCTCTGGGCAGCCTTCCAGCACAGCAGTATGAAAATTGATCTTTTAGTGTCTCTTATAGAAAAAAAACACAGGGTTGGGATTTAGATGAACGAAAATTACATGGAGCACATCTCCAATCCCCATAAACCACATACTGATACAGAAGGACGTTTACTTGGATGGAAATTATCTCTATGTAATGGCACAACCTCAGCAGAGCACCTGTTGCTGTGCATTGGTTGGCACTTTTTTTTATACTGCCTGGGGAAACGGAAACTGGGAAAAATTAAAAAAAAAAAAAAGGGCAGATGAAGGAGTTCATAAAAATTTTCACAGTATGAATCAATGTCATCAATAGTAACTGAATGGGATTTTGATTCAAAGGGCGACTGGGAACCTCTTTACTCCAGACTCTGAAATCCTCCCCCCACGTTGAGAAGCCCCCTGAGCAGTTTCATCGYGCCCTTGAGGTCTTTGTCACCCTCCTAAAAAAGAGATTAAAGGAATTTAAGAATCAAACACAAATGCAGCAAATATCCTTTCATTTATTGCTAAACTACCATAGTACAGGCAATATATAAAAATATTTTTACAGATAGCAAAAAAAAAAAAAAAATCATTACATTGGAGGTTAACAATGTTGTAGGAATGTGAATGATATAAACCCCTTTCCAATTCTTGAAGGCTTTTGAACCAACAGCTTGAGTAAAAAGACATTTTAGGCCAGTTTGGGGGACACCTGCTCACTTTGTGTGAGTGCTCTGGTTTGCGGATGGTTTTACCTGACCATGCAGGGTAGGACTCCAGGAGGAGCAGCCCTGAACTTATGATGGGGAGAAACAGCCACCAAACCCTGTCCGTAGCTCTGTGCAACCCACGATGGGCAGGTCCCCAGCAGGGCACTGGTGCTGAGGGGCAGCCGTGCCCTGGTTGCACAGCCCCTGCTCCCACCACGCTGCTCGTGTAGTGGGTGCTGAGCAGCACCCGGCAGCTCAGTCCTTGGCCCTCTTCAAAGACAGCTGTGAGTTTGGGGCTATTTCAAACATTCAGCCCATTGTTCACTTTTTGACACAGTCGTTCTATAACTTGCCATACATTTTGGCTTTTTTGGAGGGTGAGAGCTATTGAAAAGAAGCTCAAAAGACTAACTCTTCCTCAGACAACCACACATTTGCAGCCTATATGAACTTTAACAGTACCAGCACCTTCACGTGAATTTTCTCCTGCAATGTGGGTTGGGTACCAACTTGTATTTTGTACACTAGGAACAAGAGAAATAGCTGAACAAATCTTGTACAGACTACACCGGATTAGCTATTGATTAGGAGCTAATGAATTGCTCTCAGCTGTTACCCACTGCAGCTATAAAGTAGCAGATATAAAAGAAGGGGGATGTCCTTTTCCTCTATCAAATACTCAAAGGGGTGTTTCACTCATGCAGAATTGAGATGAACAAAGAATTATAACTTTCCATGTTTGATGGCAGGTAGATGCCTTACATTTATACACAAGAAACCACTGCAATGTAAACAAGAAAGAAAACAAGCAGTTGATTCTGGAGAATCTGCAGTTCCTTCAGTCTAAACCAAACATAGGCATTTCTTCATATTGCACAGGAATATGTCATATAAATAACGTACAGGGTGGCACATAAACTGAAATATCAGATGATCTGAAATGGTGGAAAATTTATGATAAGTTATGATTCAATTTAAGATGTGAAATTAAAATAGTCATTTTCTTGACTCCCATCTGGTAGATAATTGTTCTCTATTAAGTAACAATTTAGAAAGTAATTCAGGGAAAAAAGTTGGATTGAAATATTTAGAAAAATAGTTCTAAAGTGTTTAAAGCTGTCTTTGAAGGGTTTAGAAAATTTATCAAATACATCTTTTTCTTTTTTTAGGACAATAAAAATTAAACAACAACTGCATAGAAAACTAACATACTCAGGAAAAAAATGAGAATTGATCCTTTATAAATACTATCCTTAATCCAAAAGATGTTGCATATTTGGTCAGACAAAAAGCATAGAAACTTTTCTGCAAGGATACGGATTACAAAATATACTTTAAAAAACATGCTAGCTAATTTTTGAGAACTGTTTTAGATATATTACCAAGCAGCAGCATTTTATACAATAGAGAATAACATAGTGCTGTTTTGAAAATATTCTACATTCAGAAAATGCTGTATTCCTACAAGAAGAATGGAAGTGATACATATTTACATGGATACAAATAAAGCAAGTGCAAAAACCATGGCTCTTCTACATTCTTTCTACCAATAAAAACACGTACGTTAGACGCTTTCATTCCATTGCTGCTGTTCAAATCTTACATTTTGCCCATTCTCATGGAGAAAACCAAAACCAGCACTTCATATTTCACTGCAAGTATCTTTACGAGCAATTACTCTCCTGGCAAACTTACTTCCAACACTCATAACTGACACCAAAAAAAAAAAAAACCCTTCCTGATATCTGTCAACTCCCATTCCACTCTCAGACTGTTTACATAGCGTGAATGATGATTTTTAACTCTACGTATTGATATATTTGATGCAGAAATTTAAAGAAGCTCACCCTGTATCTGCAGCGAAAGCTTGGGTGGAAAAATGGAAATAAAAACCCCGCACACACACACAGACACCAAAAGGAGATGAACTCTGCGTCCCAACGAGCCCCACGCACTTAGCGTGGTACCACTTTGATGGCAAATGCATTAGAGTTGTTCCCCCTGCAGACAACATCTTTGGAGGCCTTTGGTACAATGGCAGGAAGGCACTGTGGTGAAACATTCAGATAACTGAGGAAAGACAGAACTTCCTCATGTGCAAATATGGCTATCTTCCAGATAAAGTGAGAACAAATTACTCACAAAACGCTATTAACTCTTCCAAGGTTAAGCTAAGGCCCCTACGGAAAGACAGTAAGCTGCATTATGTAACAAAATATTAATACTGGAAAAACACTGCTCAGCAAGAACAGGAAATAATTTAGTACTGTATATTTCGAAGTGCTTCAGCATGGCTAGATGACTTTAGCCTATCTATCATCTGCTTTATTTTTAAAAAGAGAAAACAACTTATAGCACTATGTCTGAGGATACTCCTTTGCTCCTTTTCAGAAATAAATATGAAGTTGGTTAAAGCTGTATTTTTTTAATCTAATGGTTGCAGGTAGAAGCAGATAGAGTAGCACAGCCTGACCTCATGAAGCTGTAAATAAAACCACTAAAATGTAGTCTATATTATATACATCTTATGGACCCTCGATCCAGTAGCTGGCTTCATGCAGCTGCAGGGATCGTTTGGACCAGAGCCAATTACAGGATCATGACCCCAGATCGTAACTGCGTGTGTGTATATACTATATAGTCACATTCATCCATAAAGCTATGGATATACGTGTGTGTGTGTGTGTGTGTATTTTATATATATATATATATAATATAACAGTATATAGTATGCATATATAATGTTATATTTTTATATACATATATATGCACYTGCACAAACACACATACAGATTAACAGCTATGCCTTAAAAATTAGGAAGAAATACAACTAATGCAAGAACAAGGACACAACTTGTAGCACTTTAAAAAATTCCTCTTCCCCTCTGTCTACAGCAAAGCGTCCGAAAGAACACGTAGGCGTCATGGAAATCTTACCTTTCTGCTAAAGGGAGCGTGTTTTATGGGTGCATCCTGCAAAGCAGCTTCAGTGGAGCCTGGCAGGGGCTCCGGGACTGCCCGGACCCTTTTGAAGGCTCAGAAGCTTCACTCTGAGMCTGTAGGTTCCCTGTCTGCTTTACACAGATAAGTCTTGGAGAAATAAGGGGAAAATTATCTAGGATGCCCAAATGACTAGCAATGGTCAGTGGCAGGAAAAAAAGACCACCACCACCATCAAATAAATCCCACAACCAGKTTCCCCATATTGAAACTGCTTATTTCAGGCGGCAGGTTGCTACTGGATATGGGGTGTCATCTCACTTAGAGATGAGACATCCATCTGCATAAACAGAAATACTGAAATCCAGCTGCTATCCATCACCAAATAAGCAGCAATAGTTTTGTCAGTTTGTCTGCAGATTTGCAAATAAGTTGATATTTTTCTTTGGTATCCTATTGAAAAACCAGCAAGAGTAAAGTTCCTGTCAGTTAATTTGCAATTAAAAGGTGGGAAAAGTAGGGAAACTAAAGGGAGGAAAACTCAGTGGCCATTTTCAATAATTGCAAGTTTGGAATTATTCTGAGAAACTGGGAGACACATTTGGGCTGTTGTTTTGCTCAGTTGCAATAGAGAACTTCTGATAGACACATTTCATCCTTAAGAACWTTTCAAAATTGTCCAGTACTTTGGACAGTGTGTGACTGTCTCCATATTACTCTACCACTACCTGCGTTTCTAGCAGTACTTTTGTGGGAAAACCAGCAAAATTCAGATTACAAAAACAAGATTGTAACAGAGACCTAGATGAGAAATTCTGAGCAGCATGATGCTTGCTGCCTCATGCTCTAAAATATAGATCTTGCATAGGTTAAGTGCTAGCTTTTTGTGGCAGAAAATACATTTTTCTCACTATGTCTGAGAACAATTTTGTTGAACCTAGCATATATTCTAAAGGGTTTATGTAATTATTTGCTTTGCAGTTTTGGGGAACCGCTTATATGGCTGCTCTACTGACCTGCTGTATYCCCATCACCCAGTTGCTGTTGTGAGCATGAGGACATATTGGTATTCAGCAAAGTTTACTTTAAATAATTGAAAATTTTCTTTCTCTAGACTAGACTTCTAGCTCTCCATCCATAACAATATCAGCATTACTCATTTACGAAAACAAAGATGACAATGAGGACCTATTTCCTACAATATTATGGCTCTCTCTTACTGTACATTGATTACGCMCTCATGACGTCTTCTTATCACACCGTGGTAGGCAGGACATGCCAAGAAGCATTACAGATGTACGAGGAGTACACCTGCAAAGGGCAGAGGTGATCACTTACTGTGATGAGCACGTATCAGTACTGCATATTCAAACACCTGAAGCAAAATATAACTAACAACGTTAATCACATGGAAAGTTAATCTTTCCAGAAACTGAGGGTGGCTTTGCAAAGCTAAAGAAATATAAGTAAGGGTATGCGTTTGTTTACAAGACATGGCTTCTGTGAGATGCAATTATTTTCTTCTGCAGCTTGCGTGGTTAAATGCTACAGCTGCTATACGAGACAAGGTACAAGTCAACAGCAGGTTCTGTGCGGAAAGAAASAGCAACAATCCAATAGAGAGAAAACATCTAAGATGCGTTCAGGTACTGCCTGAATATGAATAACAATCAGTCACAAAAATCTTTGGATAGGCATAACAGTGCTTAGGTTACTTGKGAGTTCTATATATTAATCTCTACTTCATCAGGGTTTAGTTTATCTTGGGAATGATGTTTGAATTGCCGATTTTTTCTTTTAATTAGTTCTCTTTGAATATCCTTCTCCTTCAAACTCCTGTCCAGAAAAATGAAAACTCCTGGATCCAGCTGATGGCTACTGTCTGAAATACTAATCACAGTGCTCAGTCAGAGAACATGGGTTTTGATCCCACGTTGGCCTAAGGCCAAGCAAGCCYGGGCTGCCTCAGTTTCCTACAACAGTTACATTTTTCAAAAGGGCTTTGAGACCCAGAGGGCAAGTCATTGTTAGCAAACTGCAAACTGTTTTTATTCTTTTATGCAATATATTACTCTTTCTTCTCTCGTTTCCCACCCCACCCAAATAAGCGCACATATATAAACCTCCCTTGCTTCGTGCGGTGTTCAGGAGGTACATCTTACTTCTCCCTTATTGCTAAGATATATTGATACATAGATGATAGATATTTTGCAGCAGGCTTGAAGAGTTTCCTCAGACAGATGCTCTTTTACATGAGAACAATACGATCTTTGGACTAAAGGAAGGGAGTCCTTTTCGATGTTTACAGAGAGAGGTGGCGAGTTGCTTAGTCAAGGCTGTCAGCTTGATGCCAATACATTGTTCCTTGCATTGAATTGGTGCCTTGAGATGAACAGTTAAGGAAGCAGGAGGTTGCAGGGACACKGGAAGGATCTAAGAGGTCAGTTATGGAAGGATTTGGTAAAAGTTGTCTCGCAAATCTCTGCCTCTATGTCTGGTTTCTGGCAGGGAGTCCAGAAAATTCCTTCCTGATAATTTCATTAACTGTGAAATAAAGAAAGAGAAAGAAATGTTAGTGCACTTTGAAAAACATGAGCAGCGAAAGCAGTCCCAGGTAATTCACTATTAACTCCAAACCATCCCTGTGATTCATTACACAAACCTGATTACAACTTAAAAGTTTCTAACTAGTCAGACTGCATATTTTTTTAAAGGAAAAGAGGAAGGAGAGGAGAGAGAGGGTCTACATTGTGTTCAGCATGCTTCAAATACTATAAAGAGTTTATCAACACATTGTAGCATGTGACCAGTCCATGCTGCAGCCCTTAAATAAAACATCACTTTCCCTCTACTACACACATTTCCTTTACCCGAGTAGAAAAGAAATCCACAGATATCTAAGCATTTCAACATGTTTACGGATCCGAAATAATATTTTTGAAAAGGAAAGGCCAAGATTTGGAGGGGACACAGGGATGGTGCTGCAAGAGCACAGATTGCAATGCAGTGTAAAGTGGTTTGGGTCTGCTTAAAAAAAGAAAATCTCACCTTAAGTCTATTTGTTCTATATTTTTGCTACAGTTTGGGTGCAGAGTGTGGCAAGACAACGTAAGCAAATTTCCATGCTCCTCTACAACCTTTTTGTCTGGGACTCAGTGCTAAYGATTGCTAATAAAGCCTGGAACAAGACTCTGAAGCACACTATCCTCTGCATAAAACYCAGGCCAGCGTGATGAGCTGCATATAGCAGCTCTGATCAGCCCTGATCTGATCAGCTCTGATCTGCATTTCAGACTTGTCATGTCTGAAGCCGAGTCTGGTCTCCTCTTGGGCCACCCCTCTCTAGGCTGGGCTTTCACTAGGAGACCTGTGATTTTTGAAAATGTAACAGCTGATTGTACCACAAGTCAAAATTGAATAAAAATAAATGAATCCTATCAAGCATGGGTTGTTCTCACTCTAAAGGAACCATTTTAACAGGATAGCATTTTCAAAAAAAAAAAAAAAAAAAAAGTGCTTCTTTAAAAAAAATATATGTATGTGTTTAGTGGATGAGTGTTAGGGTATTTTAGCAATGAAGAGACTATATTTCTTCAGAAAGAACCTAAGTTTTCTTATGCTTGTCCTAGGTGCAATTTAAGAGTGCCATTCAACTTGTTCACAAGATAAAGTACTTGTCTGTCCCCTGCTAATAGTGGGCAATTTTCATTCTCTTCATCACAGCCAGGTTAATGCCAAGACAAGATCAAACCTATATGACGGGCAAGCACTGAAAGAACTGCATGATTTCTTCCTTCTGATATTTAATGGCTAGACCCAGACTAATTTTAATCAGAGACACCCTCACTCCAAACTTATTCATCCTCAGGCAATCAGTATTTGGGTCCCTTTCTAACAAATGTGTACAAAAAGTTGTAATAAACAGATTTTTCACCACTTCCTGACAATTACATCAAATGGTGCCTCAACTCTTATCCTTGAGGAGGGGAACACATACATTAATTTTAATACTCCTAACTAGTAGGTTAAAAGCCTCCTTCCACCTTCCATGCAAGAGAATTCATCTCAGAAGAAATAAAACCTATGTTTTGTGCAAAGTTCCATGTTACTGCTAAACCGATGCCTGCCTGCGACAGATTATAATCCTCAAGGACTTCATCTTGGCCTCATTAGTACCTGATTGACATCATGTGGATGTCCACAAGTAAAAGCGGCCGAGAGCAGCTCCATGAAGTCTCCTGCCGCCCAGCTTTCCACCTGCACCTCCGGGTCCTGCCCAGCACCTTAGGGGCGAGCTGCTGCGCCCAGGCAAGCAGAGCCGGCGGGCCCGGGCTGCGCGGAGCGCGGCTGCTCTGCAGTGGAAGCAGGCAGCCAGCGGGAGGTGAGGTTGGGCTACGCTCAAGCAAAAACCGACTGCAACTCTGCTCGGAGAGTTTCCTGTTTGCACTACCCAGGAAATGAGAGAGGAGCAGGTCTTCAATGGAAATTTTTCGCAGCCTCGACTAAGAATAGCAGTGAGGTAAAAGAAGTGGGCACCCACTCTCTCAGGGTCACTTCCTTTATAAAACAAGTGGGCTGGTTTATTTATCAACACACTTGCTTGAGCAGCGTACCAGAAAGGGACCGTATATGTTTCCTTTTATTTAATATAATCAGCATGTATGGAAACATCTTAGCCAACAGCCACCTCAGTCGAGAGAGCATTAATAAACGCAGGTGATTAAATGGGGTTTATTAAACCTGCAGTCTTTTGTAGGGTGCTTTTCTTGTTGTTTCCCGACCTGAATGTTATACAAAGCACAGCCTGTGGTACGTTGCCTGCAGAGCAGGAGCGGGGACAGCAGTGTCAGCTCATGGGTCTGGGCGGGTTGGACAGTGCGGTAAGGGCTTCCTCAACCTGCAAACTTCACTTTCCCTCCTCTGTGCTGTGTAGGAGATGAGCAGTGGGATTTGCGGGCTGAGGTTGTAGGGGGACAACCCTAATAGTCTCTGAAAAGAGCTAATATGTTGCAGGGGAAGAGCATGAAACCTCAGCCCCACAGACGAGCTGCAGGGTGATGCTCAACACAGGGTTGGGCTCTCTCCCTTCGAGCTCCTGAGGGTCTCAAATTGAATTGCTGTTTTAAGTATCTAGTAAATGTCTGAATGACAAGGGAGCTGCCTTCTAAATAACAGTTGCCCTGAATACCCCGTGTTCAGCCTGATTTTCACCTAAATGTCACCTAAATTTCACCTGCTGTTTAAGGTGTGCAACAGTAGCTCTGAGAGAAGAATGCCTAAATCAGCGATTGCCTCAGTACTAAAGCTCCTAAGCCACAATCTGAGCTCCTAAACCTAACAAGTAAAGACAACCTAAAGTAGGTGTCCCTCTCCTAACTGGTAGACACCTCCAGATTAGATCCCAGGGAAACCACACGTCTTGGAAGAATCTGCTCCAGACTTGGGAAGTGCACAAATCCAGGTGTAATCTCAGGGACTGGGTCTCGAGAATAGGTTGCATAGGATCAGCACACTGAGACATATCTAAACTTCACAAGAAACTGAGCTCATGAGCTCAACTTTCTATTCTGAGTTCCTATGTATCTTTCTGTGGTAGCATGGTTAAAATGTCTTGCAAGTATCGATTCTCTTCATTTGCTCATTTTGAGCCGAGCAGAAAGAGAAATGATGTGATTACTCAATAAAAGGTGGTTATTTAAGGTGCCTGGCATGCGGCAGCTTTGGAGCACACTGCAATTGATCGGTTTAATGAGACAAAACTAATTAAATGGGGCCGTGATGACATATACAAAAATTATGAAAAATTAAATAATAAAGCATATTGAAATACAGCTGATAATGACCACCCAGACCAGGGAAACGTCTMGTTAGGCCCAAATCCCTTCAACTTAACTTATTAGATACTGCTGAGTGTTATAGCAGCCCCAGCGCTCGGAGATCCCCAAGCAAGCTTAATGCAAGAGGCTGACTCAAACCATGGGAGAGCATCTGCGTTCCTCTAAAAACTCAGCTTTGATGGGCTAGAGTCAGTCTCTCAGGCTCCAGGCCTCCGAGACATTTAAGACTCCAATTCCCATCCTCTCAGATTGAAATCTGGAGCGTATTGACTTGCGGGCTGATAGTGGGTTATATGAAATGCCGAGCTCCAACTAGTAGTCCAGAGACAGAAAACAGCCTCCAGTTTTAGCTGGCTTTGAGACAAGCTCCTTGTAATTGACTACACGCACGCATTCGTATTCAATGCACACACGTACACACAAACACGTTGGACTAATAACGTTGCTAGCGTTATTCCACCCACACATCTCCCAGTTTAGTGGCACCGAGGTCGGTGCTGTCCCAGCACCCGCAATGAGGGGCTCAGATGGGACCTCCTGCCCTTTGGAGATCCCGCACGTGCCGTGGATGCTCCACCAGTGCCAAGAGCCACTTTCCATGTGAAGGGGACAGGCTGCAGATGAGGGAGGCAGGGACGACTAAGGTTTGGGCCCAGATTTCTCGTGTGATGCCTAAGGTGTGGCTGGAGGCGCCAGGCAAAGCGTGGTGCCACCGAGAGGGGACTGCAGCGTGGGGACAACCGTGCGCGTTAGCCCAGCATGCAGAGCTCCCGCTCGCCTGCCCTGCCCTCCAGCCCCAGCTACTGCAGCACAGCCGTGCGGTACACACGAGGGGAAGAAAAAGAATCCAAAAATACATTAAATAAGATTTAAAGCCCTCTAAGCCAAATAAAAAGGGGCATGACTTTTTCACTGGAAAAAAAATAAATAAATATAGGTTAAGAGAAACACACAGCTGGAGAAAAGGCAGAAAAATACCAATTACCTTTCATTTTGATTGCTTGGATCAAAGATCACAGTCATTCTTTTTCATATAATGTTTTGTATCCAGCTAAGGTGTGTATCTATCAGCTCTGAAAAAGATTTGCAAAATCGTTTTTGAGAAAAAAAAGTAACTTTCGACCTATGTTGCAAGGCCAAATGTTACACTTTTCAGCTACTCTTTCATTTTTTGTTTTAATTTATTAAAAGGACATTTCAGCATATACAGTACATAAGGCAGAACTTAACCGCTGACCTTTCTGTTTGCTCAGATCCAGCACTATATTTTACTTTTTTTCCCCTCTTTTTCTCAAATGATATAATCTAAAAATAAATATGCAAAAAAATTACACTGCTAAATTCATCACAAAACATGAGAAATGCTGACAATACGATCTGAGGCTTCAGAGGCACAGGAGGTCCATGTGTCTTGAAAGTCAGGTCAAAGACTAGTCACTGCCTTTTGCAAAATTCAGTTATATTATCATCTTAGTGGCCCAAATAAAACACAACACGTTTATGCCAGATCAAAAGTCAGTCCCTTTTAAATAAGAGATGTAACCAGAACGGCCATGTAAATTAGACTTTGCCTTAATTATAAAGAACAGGAAAGATACAGGCAAAGAAATCATAAAAGTTAAAGTCTTTGCTTCAAACTCAAACAAGGTGCATTTTTTTTCTCATAAAATATTTAAAATTCTCTTTCTCTTTTCCTTTCGGGTAGGT